TGGTGAGGAGTTGGAGAAGAGGGACTAGGAATTGATGCAGGCTATCCGCAACAAGAGTGTGCTTGAGGAGCAACTTCGAATAAAGGACGAGGAGCTCGAGTTGGGCAAGGGGGTCGCCACAAAGTGCGAGGACCTGCAGGAGAAATTAAGGTCAATGCAGTTGGAGATGGATTAGAACTTGATCAAGGTCGAGGCGCTGAGTGCGGAGTAGATGGGAAAATTGGCTGGGCTGGAAGACAAGGTTGCTGGGTTGGAGAGCATCGAGAGTGCTTGGTTCACGGCTTCGGCGAGGGCGGCGGACCTGGATAACACCATCCGCGTCCTTCAGTACGATCAGGAGTCGGAGAGAGCGATGACCACCCTGATGGAGGCAAGGTTTGAGGAGCGCATTAGCGAGATTAACCAAGAGGCATCGGTTCTGGGATATCGGGTCGTAACATTGGAGGCAAAAAATGAGCGACTATTGGCTCAAATTGAATCTTCCTCTACCACCGTTCCCCGCCACATGCACGAGCTTTGGGTTTACGCCGAAGCCCAGTGGATATATACAAGTGTTTGTGGGAGGCGGGTAATGTGACTGAGGCTGCAAATAAAGAGGCGCGGGAGGCTCGCATCAATTGTGGATATGACGCAGTGACGCCAAAAACCAATAGGGCGCGGACACCGAAGGAGAACTTCCTGGAGATGACAGTAGAGAGGGTGGCGATGATGGTGTAGAGTAGAGGGATAGAGATATTGATCTATTTTCTGTTTGTTGTTTTCTTCCCTATTTTTTTAATATTCGTAGTCGGCTGTCGTTGTTCCTTTCTTCTTCTTTTTCTTTGTTGTTTTTTATATTGTTGGCTTGGGCCTTATGTAATCCGCGACCATTTGAGTGGAAACTTTGCATAAAGAAGAATTTTGCGCTGTTATTTGTCTAGTAATCTACCCTTGTTTTTGTTTTGCGTGATTTCGATGCGAGATAGATTCCTACACGGCGAGTCCCGATTTTTTTGGCACTTTCTGATGGTCCTTGGCCTTAGGAATATTTCGCACTTTCTCTCTGGTGACGACTTATGGCCTTAAAGGATGTTCGCCGAAATATTAACCCGTCATCGGTCGATCGAGATTGAACTCTTCTTTTTGGAGAAGGCTTTTGGCCTTAAAGGTGTTATTTCGAACTTATCGAAATAGTAACCCGTCGTAATTTGACAGAGGTCGAACTTTTCTCTAAGGCAAAGGCCATTGGCCTTAAAGGGTGTTATTTCGAACTTGTTAAAATATTAACCCGTCGTTGTTCGATCAAGGTCGAACTCTTCTTTTTGACGAAGGCCCTTGGCCTTAAAGGGTATTATTTCGAACTTGTCAAAATATTAACCCATCGTAGCGTTTGATCAAGGTCGAATTTTTCTCATTGGCGAAGGCCCTTGGCCTTAAAGGGTGTTATTTCGAACTTGTCGAAATATTAACCCGTCGTTGTTCGATCAAGGTCAAACTCTTCTTTTTGGCGAAGGCCCTTGGCCTTAAAAGGTGTTATTTCGAACTTATCAAAAATATTAACACGTTATTGTTTGATCAAGGTCAAACTCTTCTTTTTGGCAAAGGCCCTTGGCCTTAAAGGGTGATATTTCGAACTTGTCAAAATATTAACCCGTCGTCGTTCGATCAAGGTTGAACTTTTCTCTTTGGCGAAAGCTCTTGGCCTTAAAGGGTGTTATTTCGAGCTTATCGAAATATTAACCCGTCGTTGTTCGATCAAGGTCGAACTCTTCTTTTTGGCGAAGGACCTTGGCCTTAAAGGGTGTTATTCGAACTTATCGAAATATTAACCCGTCGTCATTCGATCAAGGTCGAACTCTTCTTTTTGGCGAAGGCCCTTGGCCTTAAAGGGTGTTATTTCGAACTTGTCAAAATATTAACCCGGCGTTGTTCGATCAAGGTCGAACTCCTCTCTTTGGCGAAGACCCTTCGCCTTAAAGGGTGTTATTTTGAACTTGTCGAAATATTAATTCGTCTTCGTTCGATGAAGGTCGAACTCTTCTCTTTGGCAAAGGCCCATGACCTTAAAGGGTGTTATTTCGAACTTTTCAAAATATTAACCCGTCGTTGTTCGATCAAGGTCGAACTCTTCTTTTTTACGAAGGCCCTTGGCCTTAAAGGGTGTTATTTCGAACTTGTTGAAATATTAACCCGTCCTTGTTCGATCAAGGTCGAACTCTTCTTTTTGGCGAAGGCCCTTGGCCTTAAAGGGTGTTATTTCGAACTTGTCGAAATATAACCCGTTGTTGTTCGATCAAGGTCGAACTCCTCTCTTTGGCGAAGACCCTTGGCCTTAAAGGGTGTTATTTTAAACTTATCAAAATATTAATCCGTCGTCATTCGATCAAGGTCGAACTCTTCTCTTTGGCGAAAGCCCTTGGCCTTAAAGGGTCTTATTTCGAACTTGTTGAAATATTAACCCGTCGTCATTCGATTAAGGTCGAACTCTTCTCTTTGGCGAAAGCCCTTGGCCTTAAAGGGTGTTATTTCGAACTTGTTGAAATATTAACCCGTCGTTGTTCGATCAAGGTCGAACTCTTCTTTTTGGCGAAGGCCTTGGACTTAAAGTGTGTTATTTCAAACTTGTCGAAATATTAACCCGTCGTGGTTCGATCAAGGTTGAACTCTTCTCTTTGGCGAAGGCCCTTGTCCTTAAAGGGTGTTATTTCGAACTTGTCAAAATATTAACCCGTCATCGTTCGATCAAGGTCAAACTCTTCTTTTTGGTGAAGGCCCTTGGCCTTAAAGGGTGTTATTTCGAACTTATCGAAATATTAACCCGTCGTCAGTCGATCAAGGTCGAACTCTTCTTTTTGGCGAAGGCCGTTGGCCTTAAAGGGTGTTATTTCGAACTTGTCAAAATATTAACCCGTCATCGTTCGATCAAGGTCAAACTCTTCTTTTTGGTGAAGGCCCTTGGCCTTAAAGGGTGTTATTTCGAACTTATCGAAATATTAACCCGTCGTCAGTCGATCAAGGTCGAACTCTTCTTTTTGGCGAAGGCCGTTGGCCTTAAAGGGTGTTATTTCGAACTTGTCAAAATATTAACCCGTCTTCGTTCGATCAAGGTCGAACTTTTCTTTTAGGCGAAGGTCCTTGGTTTTAAACGGTGTTATTTCGAACTTATAGAAATATTAACCCGTTGTTGTTCAATCAAGGTCGAACTCTTCTTTTTGGCGAAGGCCTTTGGCCTTAAAAGGTGTTATTTCGAACATGTCAAAATATTAACCCGTCGTTGTTCGATCAAGGTCGAACTCTTCTTTTTGGCGAAGGCCTTTGGCCTTAAAAGGTGTTATTTCGAACATGTCAAAATATTAACCCGTCGTTGTTCGATCAAGGTCGAACTCCTCTCTTTGGCGAAGGCCCTTGATCTTAAAGGGTGTTATTTCGAACTTGTCGAAATATTAACTCGTCATCGTTCGATCAAGGTCGAACGTTTCTCTTTGGCGAAGGCTCTTGGCCTTAAAGGGTGTTATTTTGAACTTGTCGAAATATTAACCCGTCGTTGTTCGATCAAGGTCGAACTCCTCTTTTTGGCGAAGGCCCTTGGCCTTAAAGGGTGTTATTCGAACATGTCGAAATATTAACCCGTCATCATTCGATCAAGGTCAAACTTTTCTCTTTGGCGAAGGCTCTTGGCCTTAAAGGGTGATATTTCGAACTTGTCAAAATATTAACCCATCGTCGTTCGATCAAGGTCGAACTTTTCTCTTTGGCGAAGGCTCTTGGCCTTAAAGGGTGTTATTTCGAGCTTGTCGAAATATTAACCCGTCGTTGTTCGATCAAGGTCGAACTCTTCTTTTTGGCGAAGGCCCTTGGCCTTAAAGGGTGTTATTTCGAACTTATCGAAATATTAACCCGTTGTCGTTCGATCAAGGTCGAACTCTTCTTTTTGGCGAAGGCCCTTGGCCTTAAAGGGTGTTATTTCAAACTTGTCGAAATATTGACCCGTCGTTGTTCGAGCAAGGTCGAACTCCTCTCTTTGGCGAAGACCCTTGGCCTTAAGGGTGTTATTTCGAACTTGTCGAAATATTAACCCGTCGTCGATCGATCAAGGTCGAACTCTTCTCTTTGGCGAAGGCCCTTGGCCTTAAATGGTGTTATTTCGAACTTGTCGAAATATTAAGCCGTCATTGTTCGATTAAGGTCGACTTCTTTTTGTTGGCGAAGGCCCTTGGCCTTAAAGGGTGTTATTTCGATCTTGCCGAAATATTATCCCGTCGTTGTTCGATCAAGGTCGAACTCTTCTCTTTGGCGAAGGCCCTTGGCCTTAAAGGGTGTTATTTCGAACTTGTCGAAATATAACCCGTTGTCGTTCGATCAAGGTCTAACTCCTCTCTTTGGTGAAGGCCCTTGGCCTTAAAGGGTGTTATTTCAAACTTGTCGAAATATTAACCCGTCGTCATTCGATCGAGGTCGAACTCTTCTTTTTGGCGAAGGCCCTTGGCCTTAAAGGGTGTTATTTCAAACTTGTCGAAATATTAACCCGTCGTCATTCGATCGAGGTCGAACTCTTCTTTTTGGCGAATGCCCTTGGCCTTAAAAAGTGTTATTTCCAACTTGTCAAAATATTAACCCGTCGTTGTTCGATCAAGGTCGAACTCTTCTTTTTGGCGAAGGCCCTTGGCATTAAAGAGTGTTATTTCCTCTAAAATGGACCACTTTGTCTGCATTTGCTAGGTAAACAAACATAACAAAATCAGGGGGAGGAACTGAATGCAAAAAGGACTTATCCACCTTAGTTTAGGAACGTATGAGTTACGATGTAATTGTTCTGTCTTACGACTATACGAAGAAAGAAATAAGACAAAGGAAAAACTATTGTAAAACCAATCTCACTCGTAAATACTGCATGCACAGCTAGAATCACGGACCTAGCTGCCAAAAAATCTTTTCTTGCCATTAAAGAATCACCCCAAAATCGGTGCTTTTCTAATCTTCCCCTATCAGCATTTTTCCGACTAAATCAAAATTCTTTGAAGATGGGGTTTTGCAGGGGCGACGTTGTTGAAGTAGCAAGCAAAGAAGATGGTTTTGTGGGTTCATATTACGAGGCAATTGTGGTGTGCCAACCGCTCAAGAAAGATTATATCGTGCAGTATAAAACCCTTTTGAAAGATGACCTCTCTGGTCCGTTGACGGAGTTTGTTACAGTCTCTGAACTCCGGCCAGTTCCTCCTGAGATTCCGGTGAGTGGGTTTAGCTTAAATGATGAAGTTGATGCTTTTGATAATGATGGGTGGTGGGTTGGCAAAATCACTGGTAAAATTGGAGCTAATTACATTGTATACTTTGAAACCAGTGAGGATGAATGTGCTTATACTATAAGTGACTTGAGAGTTCATCAAGATTGGATTGATGGTGAGTGAGTTTCTTCAAAAAGGAATGCAAAATGTGATTAAAGCAATATTAATTTATATTATGCTTTTTCTGAGCCCGGGTTCTAATGGAAATAACTTCTCTATTTTTACAAGGTAAGGGTAGGTAGAGGCTGAACCAAAATTTGAACTTTATAGGATTGAGATTGTAATCTTTTTAAGTTACTGGTTCTGATTTAGTAATAATTTGTACATATTCAATAAATTTCTTAAGACAAATATATGGTTTGAACAAAAGTTATTGGGTTCGGCTGCATCCAAATCCCACAATGTAGCAAAGCCCCTAGGATAAAGATCTTGTACACATTATCCTCTCCAGAATTAACTTGTAAGATTACACTAGATTTGTTATTGTTGTTGAGACTACAAAGTTCAGTGTTTAGTTCTCAGTCTATTGGAATTTCTGTTTTGGGGATTCCTTTGAGGGCCATATTCAGATTTGAATTTTGCTTATATGTTGGTTCATTAGTACTGTTTGATGTGGTATTATTTTCTTTAGATTATTCAGATATGAAGTTGTACATAAAACACTTCAGTTTTGATATACATTTTGGCGTTACCTTTAGTAATTTAGAATTGGTCATTCTCTATTTTCTTGTTCTGGGGTTGGAGATTGAGGTATTCTACCGTTAGAGTAACTCTCCATTTAACCCAAAAATAAATTTATCGGTCAAAGTCAAAATCAAAAAAAAATAACCAAGATTTACTTCACTTTTCCTGTAATTTGAAGAATAAAGCGAATAATGAAAATAATTGACAAGGAAGGAATATACAAAATAGATTGACAATTGCTCCCAAAATTGTGGTTAGAATTTTTTGATTAAAGTAAAGAATGATTGCATATATTTTCAATAATAATCCGATGCCATTACAAATGAGGACTAAGTCCTTTTATAGGAGTATATAATTACAACGGGTTTCATACTTAATTCGGGGTTATTAATAGCATTAATTGCCTTGATTACCTGTTTCTATATATATTCGTAACGGAAGCGTTTATGACTGAGAATTTCCTGTAACCACAATTGTATGTCGATTTTCCTTCCTTATTTAAGGTAGATTCCTGCACCTTCCTTCTTTAATGGTCTTTATACATTCCGCCGCTATTTCTCTTCTTTCTAGCTGTCAGAGCCGGTTTCCTTCCTAGAGAAAATCCTGAGGGTGCTTCTCCCGTGCCTTCTTGAATTCTTTAACTCAATGTCACCTGTTACCTTATTGATGGTCCACGTGTCATACCCTTTTTTTCCTACTAAAACAGTCTCCCTTGTGCTCCTTATGTGTTTCAGATTGTTAAATTTAATTATTTACTTTTCAGTTTTCTTCAATCTTCAAGTAAGAAATATAAAAAAAAATTAAGAAATTATAAGCCCTATATAATTTAGTATTACGCCAATTTCCAACAATTTAAATTAATTAAGATTAAGATTGAATGGATCTGATTATGGCTAAAATCTCGCATCAAATTAATAGCTTAAGATCACGAAGAATAATAGAGTGGTACGAGTAACAATTTCTTCTTTTGCAGGATTCATTGAAAGTCGAAAAATATGATTCTCTTTTACCAAAATGGTGCTGTGCATGCTTAATTATCTGCTAAATTGCAGCTAATCTTAGGTGAATATGTAAAGTACTCTATGTATTTAGTGAGAAAAGCTTCTCTAAATGATGAATTCATTTTTTCTTTATAGTTTTTTTAAAAAAAATAAATTATATGGAGGTGGAATGAGAAATAAGGGAGAGAATTAAAAAGTGCGAAATCGAACCTTAAATAAGGCAAAAATTCAGGTAACCAATCAACTCTATTATTAAGATTCTTCAGATTTTGCAGTTATATTTATAAAATAATTATTCGACTATATATGTATGTCGGACACAATTACACAAATCCATGTGTAATGTTTTCGTTTTAAACAATAAATCAAATAATAAAAGGAAAATAGATGTTTGTTGCTTATCCTAGAAGGCTGTCAAATGCATTTGTATGGGTCCAAATTTAACTGACCACGACCAACGATGAGTATGACGATTGACGGAGCCTCCTTGAATTGACGTCCTGAGGGAGACGACCCTGAGACAAACCAGAGAATGGACGACCCTTGTAATAATGCATGTCCATTGTCACACCTCCTTTTCACCCGTGCCCGCAGGGGCGCAGAGGAAGTTTTTCCAATTAAAGGACAATCGGAACGGGATTTGTTTATTTATTTCAGAGTCGCCACTTGGAAGATTTATGGTGTCCCAAGTCACCGGTTGAATCCCGAATCGAGGAAAAGATTGACTCTGTATTACAGTCCGCGACCCAGAAATCCGAGTAGGGAATTCTGTTAACCCGAGAGAAGGTGTTAGGCATTCCCGATTTTCGTGGTTCTAGCACGGTCGCTTGACTGTCATATTCGGCTCATTTATCTGATTTTCTACATGTTGGACCTGTGTCCCAATTTTAACTCTTTCCCGCTTTCATTGTTGTTATTTTAAGAGAGAATTGCAACGTCGCGAGAACACGTCTCGAACCACGCCACATTAATGCACCCGCGGTTATTGACGCATTTCGACTCCGATGAGATTTGGATTTGGGTCACATAAATGTGCACCCAAGTTTAAGAAAGTAAATTATTAAAGGTGCGCCTAAAGCGACTAGCGTATCATTATTTTGGGTAAGGCCGTGAAACTTTGCTAAACGGCCCATCCAGAAGTCTAAGTAATTTTACCAACACGTATAGAGGGCCCCGCAGCTTGTGTATTTTTGTTTGTCGAGGCTCGTCTCATTCATTATTATTATTATTATTATTTTTTAAAAAAGAATTTGCAACGTCATGGAAATGCATCTCGAACCACGTCACAATCAATGTACACGTGATTAGCGACACATTTCGATTTCGTTGAGATTCGGATTTGGGTCACATAAATGTGCACCTGGGTTTAAGAAGGTAATGTTATTTAAAGTGTGCGCCTAAAGAGACTAACGCGTGGTTATTTTGGAAAATGGCCGTGAAGTTCGCTAAGCGGCCGATCCCGAGTTCTAAGTAATTAATACACACATTTGTGAGGGCCCCGCAATCTGTGCGTTTTATTTGGCGAGGCTCATCTCGTTTATTTTGAAAGGACGATCCTAAAGTGACTACATTTTTTCCTATTAAGTTCGTCTCTAAACAAAATGAAGGCCCCAACCAATTGTTACTTAACTTTATTGTACGATTTTTAAGGATGGTCTTGCGATCGAGCCCGTTTCCTATGACCAGATTTCATGCGTTATTCGGGCCAAGTCAGCGTTCGACTCACAGAAGCAGATTCGAGTCTGATTTAACATACACAGGCTATTGCCAATTGCTTTACATGATGAAACCAAACCCAATATTTCAACTTTTCGAGCAAATGGGCTGCCAACAATCATTATCTACCTACTGTTGACAATATTAAAACTTTCATAGCTAGTGAAACTTAACAAGTTTGAACAGACAAGTTCAATAGAACAAACTCAAGTTATCTTCATCATATTCCACTTATTTAACTAAACAGTTTGACAATAATGGGCATGCTTAACTATTCGGGAAAAGCACAGTTAACTTGGAAGTTTGATTTTCAATTCTATGATACTAAAGTTGGTATTAAACTACTAAATTTACAACTAAGAAAGGCAAGTTAATGGTCCAATACAGTCCTTATCAGATACAAACTCCACAGTCCACATTCTTCATGGAGTTATAAAGATAGACTATACAACTTATCATTTATCTACTAAATTTCAGATGCACTAAGTACTACACTACTCGAGCATTTTCTTTTCACTTTTACATCTCACAGCTACATCAAAGTGTGATTCGAAAGTGTACCTGGTAATAAACAGTAGAAGAAGAAGAGGAGGATCAGTAGAGCAGTAGCAAATAGCAACATCAATAACCCAGCAACACAGTAGCAGAACAACCCAGTAACAGATTTAAAAAGACCAGCAGAATTCCAGCAACACCCAATGAAACAGTAGCAAATAACCAATAGTAAACTCAGGAAAAACCACTTGAAACCCCAGAAATACCAACCAACAACACCAATGAAACAGTAACAGTGCTAGTTTTGATATTCAGCAGTAAAAGAAAAGACCTCACTTTTCAGTTTCTTAACTCTCAAACACTGAACTTTTTAGGATTAAAACCAACCTATTTTTTTTTCAAATTACTGAACTCTTAACTGTTAAAAATCCAGCCTAGAATCTCTGAAAAAAAACTGAAAGAAAAACTGATTTTTCTCTCCCAAAAAACCAGCCCCTNAGGTCGATTAGACGCCCAAATTCCTTTAATTTCAGACAAAACCCAGGTTTGGTCTTTATAGGGGCCTTGGTTCCATTTGGGGGTTCGAACGGTTCTAGCAAGATTCGAACCAGGCCAAAGGTATTTTGGGCACGAGGGAGGTCAGAGGGTGTCGTGGTGTGAGTTTGGGACTGGTTGGGGTAGGTTTGGGTTTTGCTCGAATCTTCGATTGAAGATTCGAGAAGCTAGAGGTTGATTTGAGGTTAAAGGGGTAGGGATCTGTGTTGAGGGTGGTTAGGAGGTTCAATGGTGTGAATTTTGTGGTCAC